CCGAAGGTTGTGGAAAAGTTATAGAAACTGTTTCTTTTTGTTGCTGTCTCTCTTTGCGCCTATAAGCAGCACGGGTCATCCTTTGCTCCTTCTGAGGATCTTCTACAGATAATGACGACATGGCCCCAGGCAAATCCACAACAGGTTGCTCCATCAGATCTTCCTGTACTTTAGATGTCGATGATGATGACTTATCAGCGTTCAGGACCGACATATAAAAATCTCTGGCTCTTTGAACAGAGTTTAATCTGTGCCTGGTCCCTGCAAAATTTAATATAACACCCAAAGGAATTTCCCATCTGAAAGGTATCTGCCGCTTCTTTAACTCCTGAGTCAGGAATGCAAAATCTTTTCTTCCTTTTCAAATCTTAGGAGGTATTTCTTTCAGAAGTATAATATCTTGTGCGGCAATTTGAAACCTCTGCTGATAAAAAAGCTGTATAATTTCATTGCGACGTATTCTTGTAGTAAAATGGACAACCACATCTCTAGGTAAATTTCTTTGACGTGCAACCCAGGAGTTCACTCTAAAAAATTTTTCTATTTCTCCATGTAAGACCTCTGGATTGCAATTTAATGCATACGGTGTATTCTACTAATCACGAGTTGTCCTCTCACTTCTAAGTCTGAGTCTTAAACCTTAAATCAATCCATATCTCTAAAAGGCCTTTTTAACCCATACATGTAATTTTGGATCTCTTTTTTCAGTCTTATTCTGGCATTCTTTTTGTGCCAAGCAGGTTTCTGTAACAGAGCCTCTATTTCAACAAATAGATCTCCCTTTATTCCTGACTCCTTTGTGGTTAGACCCTTGTTGCTTTAAAAATTCAAGTCTCAATGTTTGGTTCAGCTGAGTAAGACATTCAGTTGTGTCCAGTTTTGTGGTTAGTAGTTGGTTATCAAAGTTGTCATAGTTCTCAGTAAATCGTGTTTGTACATCAATTCCTGTTGTTTTTGGAGTTGTATATAGTTTAATTAAAGTTACCTTTTGAACATCAAAAATCTCAATAGGTTGCATATGAGGTGATATGAATTCCTCTTTGGTGTTGGTTAATTCCTCTTCTAGTATATTTTGGCCTCTAGGATAGTCAGTTGGAGTCTGAAAGTCAGTTTGGAAGTTTGAAGTAGGGTTTCTGACTCTTATTTCTGTAGTAATCTCTTTTATTTTAGCGCATACTTGCTCAGTGGCTTCATGAATTTTTTCCAGTTTACAGTTAAGTTGTAAATAGGGTTTCTCCATTTTGATGGTAGTTGGAAGCAGTCCTTTTATCTTTTAGTGGAGGCTATATTTAATAACCGTTAACCAATGTCCACCCCCACAGTTTCTAACAGCTGCATCAATTTCTTTATCTTTTCTCTTTTATAGTAATTTGAAGGTCAAAACCAACCTCAATTTCAAACAAAAGCAGCCAATTGCAATATTAAATTTCACCACAAGATGTCCTCAGTGGGTTATAAAATCTTTTCCCAGACACCAATAAAATGATTTTTTTTTCTTTTTTAGAAAGAAAATAGAAAAAGAAATATTCTCCAGATATAAACTAGATCAGGTAGTAGAGCACTGTAAGGGTTTTTTCGGGACCCCAGAGTAGATACAAGTAAAATATAATCATTAAAGTTAGTTATTCTGTCCTTTTATTCAGCGCTTTTCTTCCCACACAAACAAACGCCGCTCTCGCAAGGCAGGGAAATAATTCCGAAAGGCTTTTTACAGGAAAAAAAAAAGTAGGGTGAAGAGAGGAAAAAGGTCTCACCCGGATCATCCACGGTGGTTCTTTACGCTTAGATGTTCTTGTGACTTTCGGCTAGTGCAGCTGCATGATCGGCCATCTTGCTGGGCGATCTTTGCTCTGTCGGCCCTAAGGAGTTAGCTGGAGCCACGGGAGAAGCTGCTACCCTCCCGCAGTCACCAAAAAGCCTCCTCATCGGTGGTCGCCCCTCCAGGGCAACTTTCAACTCTCTTCAGGGTCTACCAGCGAAGAAGAACCGGTCGGCGAAGCGCGACCGCTGTCGCCGAAAACCGGAACCAGAAGTCCTATTTATTTATTTTTGATGTGTTGCTAGGAAACTATGAGATCAGGTAGGATGGAAAATTTGCCAGGAAAGTGTTCTCAGCTGTAGTCTCCAATATAATATTCGGCAGGTAGTCCTCGACTTAACAACAGTTCATTTAGTGTCTATGAAGATTCTCAGTCAAACAAGGAAGTCCAGTTGCCTCCTAAAAAAGCATCTTTGGGAGTCCATTTAATGATTGTTCAAAGTTACAACTGCAGTGAAAAAAAATGGCTTATGACTATTTCCCACAACCATTGCTAAATCCCCATGGTGACATGATCAAAATTCAGACACTTGGCAACTGATTCATGATGGTTGCAATGTCAGAGTCATGTGATCAACTTTTGCAACCTTCTGACAAGCAAAGTCAATGGGGAAGCCACTTAACAACCATGTTACTAAGTTCACAACTGCAGCGATTCACTTAACAACACTTAACAACTGACACAAGAATGGTTGTAAAATGGGGCAAAATTCACTTAATTGTCTCACTGAGCAACAGAAATTTTGGGCTCAATTGTGGCCATATGTTGAGGACTACCAGTATTGTCCCACAAGCACCTTGGCTTATAGCGGGGGTCCCCAACCTGTGGGCCACGGCTCACTAATGGGCCGTGGCCTAATTGCAACTGGGCCGTGTGAGTGGCTGGCCGGGTGTGTGCACAACTGCAAAAGAGGCTGTCACCCAGCCCAAAAAAGAACAAACAGACCCAAGCTGCTCTCCACCAGCAATCAGCACCCAGATCAGCATAAACTCCAAGGTCAACATCAGACCAACAATCAAGTAAGCAATACCCCAATCAAGAAACTGCCACAGAGCCCAACCAAAGAATCCCTAAGACCGCCTCCACCCACCCAGACAGGCAAGAGACCAGAATATAAACTGACAGCAAACAGCACTCCTTACTAGCCCTGATGATGTTACCTAGTTTGGATAATGAAATGTCTGCAAGAAAGCAAGAAAGCTCAGAGAATATCAAGGAACCCTCAAATTAAAGCAGGGTCATCTGAGCCCCCTTTTTCACAGAGTCCTTAACAAATGGAACTAATAACTCTCTTGTTATCAGGAAATAATTGTTTGACTGCAGTGGGTAACGAATAAGAGCTTGGAATATGGCCTTCATCTGTCATGTTTTGGAAGGTCCTTTTTTTCCACGATTTAGAAAATTTCTAAGGATATTTCTCTGTCACAGAAGGAAAATCAGGCAATATTTTACTTGATGCCTGAAACTATAATTTGGTAGGTTGGCTCCTTAATTCACCACCAACTCTTTATATGGAAAATCCCAGTCTTTACTCAGGAAGAAGCAAGTGGAACTCCGATTTTCTTGCCGTTCTGCAGCTAGCAAAGTGCGATATGTGGTACAGGATGACCTCCTTGTCAGAATGTTCAGAAAAAGATTAGATACACATTTATTATGTAGATTAATGCTATTTGAGAAATGAAGATAACAGGACAAATTAAATTTCAGAGATCCCAGTTTTTAACTTACCCCCATCTTTCAGGTAGGAATCTACACAATACAGATTAAGACATTAGGAATAATACATATTATTATTTCAAAGAGAAATCTTTGAAATAATTTTCAGATCTCAGGGAACTGTGGTATAAACATCACCAGAAAATATGAAAACTTAACAATGCAAATATGCTTCTCACCCACACACGCTCCATGTTTTACAGCAACAGCAAATCAGGCCAGCAGCCGAATGCGGTGTAAAAGCATGCCACCACTGTGATTGCTAGCATTGCGTTGTGTACGAAGTTTAAAAAAAGATTTTTTTTTCTTCAATTACAATCTCCGGCAGAAACTCCTAGTGACCTCTCAATTCCAACTGAGAAATGCTACTCTAGAGTGTTAATTCCAAGACTGAAGAAAGATCCCACCTCCCCAAAATGGAAGGTATAATAATCAAGCTGTGGGCACTGCCTCCCAGAGAGTCCTAGAGGAGAGATTCCAGGGGAAATATCACTCCTTGATGCCAACTCCTTCCCATCCCAGGGGGAAAAAAAGAGAGAGAGAACCCCAATTACCTGCAGCAGGCGGGTCAGCTTGCTGTCTCTATAGGGAACTCGAGGCAAACCCTGATTAAGGGCATCAACCACCTTGCTGAGCACAAAGAGGGAGCTGTTGATAGCTCCACTCTCTTTCAGGCGTAGGCCTTTGTTGCCCGTTTTTCTATTGTCCTCGGAGCCGGCTAAGTAGATGAGACACAGCTTTGCAGTCTGGTGAGAAAGCGGCGTTGTTCTTACCTGAACGCCTTTTCTCAGCAGGGTGGTGTAGAGTCCACAGAATGGGTTAATTCAGCAATCCTGCCTAGCAGACTAAGACAAAAAAAAAACTCTTGCCACGCCTCTCTCTGGGTGTGTCTCCCCAGTTTTTGGTACATGTCGAGGCGAAGAATGCAGACGCAAGGCTCCAAACAAAATTGAGGGGAAAGGACAAAAGGACACATGCCTAGACAAGAAATAACAGGGGGGGATGTGGACTCTACACCACCCTGCTGAGAAAAGGCGTTCAGGTAACAACAACGCCGCTTTCTCCAGCAGATGGTGGTGTAGAGTCCACAGAATGGGACATACCAAAGCCGCTCATGTCCCTGAAGGGAGGGAGTCTAGGCATGCTCAACAGGGGAAACGACTACTTGCTGCAGTACCCGTCTCCCAAAGGCCGCATCTGCCGCAGCAAAGCGGTCTATTTTATAATGTTTAATGAACGAAGAGGGGGACGACCAAGTCGCTGCCCTACAAACCTCTTCAAGCGAGGCCTGGGTAGACCAGGCCGCAGAAACCGCAGCACTGCGCGTAGAATGAGCAGTGACCTGAGAAGGAACTGGAAGTGATTGAGAAGTGTACGCCTTTGTGATACAGGCCCTTATCCATCGACCGATGGTGGAAGAAGAGACCTTCTTCCCCATGGTAGAGGGATGGAAGGAAACGAACAGGGCTTCCGATTTGCGGAAGGCCGAGGTACGTTTGAGGTAGTGACGCAGAGCCCTGCGCACGTCCAAGGTGTGCCACCCCTTCTCCAGGCGATGGGAAGGGTTGGGACAGAAATTTGGCAGTACTAGCTCTTGAG